AAGTGAGTAAGAGGAAAGTGTATCGATACCCTTTAGTACTTTGGGGGCACATGCTGTATCTTTCATCAAATCCCTACAAGACATAAAACTCCACCATCATACAGTTCAGAATCTGCCACTGCCAAAGCTCTTGCCAAGGAAGACTGTCCCCCTGGGAGCTGGCAAGATTATCTGGATCCTAGTCTTCCTTTGGGGGCACCTTTTTTTCACAGCAGCAGAGCTTTCAACTGTAGATAACTTGGATGAATAAGGTCCCTTTGATGCCCCGTACCTGATACAGTTCTCTTCCTATCTGCAGCTCAGCCAACCAAATACCTTCCTAGCCCTCCCAGATTCTAAAAGGAGGTAATATTTTTCTTTGAGTGGTAAAATAATGAAGGAACCAGCTTGCTATGTAAGGCCACAGGAAGTCCTATCATCTAAATTTCAACTACATCCCAATTAGATGGAAATGGGGGAGGGGGAGTCATAGATGGGAGAGCACCCAGAGGCTTTCAACAGTGTGCACAAATATGTAGGGTGAGAATTGCCTCACCTGAAATCCTTAGGATCACATTTTCTTCCCAGACTATGGAACATGGAAGCATATTTGTTCTTGTGCCCAAGTTTAGAATTGTGAGCAAATTACATGTTCATGAAGTTATCTTATATTATATGAGACTTACCAGTCATATCACATACCTGACAAATACACATTTGGTACTTAAAGATATGTTCTGTCTCTTGCCATTAGAACAACATTTTGGAGCAAGGATACATAGAATGCAGAAAACCCACTATGAAAATATCCACAAGGCAAGTGAACAGGAAGACCTGAAACTTTGCAAAGGTGGGATGAAAGACTTTCAGGAAAGAAAGGGCAGAGAAGATCAGGTAGAAAACCATGGAAAGCTGGGCACCAGGGGCTCATGCTAGCAATCCTAGCTATTCAGGAGGCTGAGATATGAGGATCATGGTTTAAAATCAGCCCAAGCAGACAAATCCTCAAGACTCTTATCTCCAATTAACCACCAAAACGCTGGAAGTAAAATGTGTCTCAGATGATAGAGCATCAGACTTGAGCACAAAAGCTAAGGGAGAACACTCAGACTCTGGATTCAAGCCTCAGTATTGGCACAAAAAAAGGGAAATAAGAAAAGGAGATAGAAAGGGAGAGATGGAAGGAGGAAGAGTGGGAAAGACACAAAAGAGAAAGACAAGACAAGAAAGAAAGAAAAGAAAAGAAAAGATGGATAGAATTTTGGGGGCTGAGTGGCAATTTTTCTTTGTTTCTCAACCAAGTTCTCTGCTCTGCTGACAGATAGAGCATCATTTGATATGTGTCAACTATCTATAATGTGGACAGCAAGCCTCCCCAGCACTGTTTGCCCACCATGAGACCTCATCTTCTGACTAGTTTAGTTATAGACTGCAGAAAGGAAGATTATCCAAGGGCCAGGAGGCTGGTGGCTCCATACCACCATTAAACAGCCCTCCTTCTCATTTATTCTAAAGATTTGAAAGGCCATTCCAAATTTTTTAAATCAGTATTATCCTCTTTTGTCTTCAGATACTGGAGAGACAGGAAGAAAGAGGTACTGTGACCTGTTCTAGTACCATAATTAGGATTAGGACAAGGACTGCTGGAGAGGCTACTCCTAACCTTACAATAAAAAAGCCATTAATTTTAATGGGGAAGATAAAAATAATTGAGTTACCAATGGAATAAAATAGAAGGTCCAGAAATAACCTCCTAGATATATGAAGAACTGGTTAATGAGTGTAAAGACCACTGGGGAGGGGAGAATAGCCTTTCCAATGTCCAGCTGAGGACACTGGACATTCCCATGCCAAAGAGTGAGGTGGACTCTTTCCTGTCCCTATATACAAAATGGATCAAAGATTTAAACACCAAAGTCCTAAAAAAAGAAAAGCTTCCTGATGTTAGGTTTGGTATTGATTTCTTTGGTGACACCAAAACCACAGGTACAAAATTAGAAAGACAAGTTGAGCTTTCACTAAAATTAGAATTCTGTGTATCAAAGGACATTGTAAAGGGAATAAAAAGGAAAATCACAGCATGCAAGAAAATACTTGCAAATCACATACTTAATAAGAGATTAATACTGAGAATATATAGAGAGTTCTTATGGCAATTACTTAGTAGCAACAACAAAAATTCAAAACTGAAAATATAAAAATGGCCAATGAGTTCGTAAAAAGGTGCTCAACATCACTTTTCAGTGGGAAAATGCAAATACAGTACCTTAGGCTGGAAATTGTTTAACTTAATTTTATTTTATTGTAAAGATGATGTACAGAGGGGTTACAGTTACGTAAATAAGGTAATGAGTACATTTCTAGTCCAACATTGTTACCACCTCCCTTCTTTTTCTCCCAGTTTCCCTCCTGCCCTTGGCTCTCCCTACTCCCAAACTGAAAAGTTCACTTCCAACATAGTATCTTGTGAGTATCGCTGTTGCATTGGTTCACCCTTTGTCCATTGTCTCACCATTTTGTTGTTCCCTTTTCCTTCCCCAAATCAGATAAATGTATATACAAGACATAGGGCACCAAAATCAAATACAGTGACAATAGGGGATAAACCAAAGGAAAAAAAATGAAAGAACAAAGAAATAACTTCGCACAGTATATTAAAAAAACAACAAAAAGAAAACTTGTTTCCATTTCTTGGAGTTCATTTTGATTAGCATCATTTTGTACGTCTTATGTACAGAGCTGTTGAGCTATTGTGATCCTCTACTAGGACCATCCTAGACATATACTAATTATTACAAATGAGGGAAACTATGGAGTTTATATTTCTTTGGGTCTGGCTTACTTCACTTAATATGATTTTTTCAGGTCTTTTTCCATTTCCTTGTGAATGGGTGATGTCATTCTTTCTGATAGATGCATAGAATCCCATAGTATGTTTATAGCACATTTTCTTGATCCATTCATCTACTGAGGGGCATTTGGGTTGGTTCCATATCTTAGCTATGGTAAATAAGGCTGCAATGAACACAGCTGTGCTGGTAGCTTTAGTGTGGTCTTGTTTGTGTTTGTTTGGGTAAATGCCCAGAAGTGGGATTGCTGGATCATAGGGTAATGCTATGTTTAGTCTTTTGAGGAACCTCCACACTGCTTTCCAAAGTTCTTGTACCAGTTTACATCCCCACCAACAGTGTAGTAGCATTCCCTTTTGGCCACTTACCCACCAGCATCTACTATTATTTGTTTTCTTGATAGTGGACATTCTAACTGGGATGAGCTAGAATCTCAATATAGTTTTGATTTGCATTTCTTTTATGGCCAGAGCTGTTGACTATTTCTTCCTGTGTCTATTGGCTATTCTTATTTCCTCTCCAGAGAAGTCTCTTAATTCTTTAGCCCACTTATTAATGGGGTGGTTGTTTTTTTGAGTATTTTTTATTGGAGGATTTAATCTTTTAAGCTCTAGGTATATTTTTGATATGAGACCTTTGTATGTTGTGTAGCCAGTGAAGACCTCCCAATCTGTGGGCTTTCTACTGATCCTGCTAGCTATGTGCTTTGCCATGCAGAAGCTCTGCAATTTAATGCAATCACATTTATCCAGCTTCTCTTTGATTTGTTGTGTTTCTAGATCTTTATTTAGGAAGTTTCAACTTGTGCCAAGGAGCTCTAGTGTATCCCCTATCCCTTCCTGTAATATTTTTCAGGGTATCTGCTCTTACCTCGAGGTCTATGATCCATTTGGTTCAGGGTGATATAGAAGGATTTAACTTCAGTTTTCTACATGTGTAGAGCCAATTCTGCAGCACCATTTGTTTTTCTTCCAACTGATAATTTTGGCCGCCTTATCAAAGAGGTGGTGGCCATAGGTCTGTGGGATCCTATCTTGATCTTCAATTCTATTCCATTGATCCTCAGGCCTGTTCATGTAGCTGGCAATTATTTTTAAACAATTAAAATAGGTGTTGTTGAGGTAGACAAAAGATAACTTTTTCACACTGTTGATAAGAATTTTTTAAATGGCCCAAATGCTATGAAAAGTAGTATGACAGGTCCTCAAAAAATTAAAAACATGATTACAAAATGATCCAGTCACTCCTCTTATGGCTAAATGCCCCCAAAGAACTGGAAACAGATTTAAAAAAAAAGAGATTTATATACCCAGATTTACAGCAGCATTATTCACAACAGCCAAAGGGCAGAAGTACATATTGGCAGATCTTGTTTATCTAAACAAGATGAGATGTCCACAAACAATGGCATTATTTATAATAGCCAAAAGGTGGAGATAACCCAAAAATCCACTAAGGGGCAAATGAACAGGTGTATTAAATGAACAAAGAGCTGAAGAGACACTTATATATGCATGTCCAGAACAGCCTTGTCTACAATAAATAGCTCAAAGAAGCAAACCAGATATCCAGGGACACAGGAAAAGGCAATGTTTATAGGCAATGGAATACCTACACCTAACAAGGAAAGAAATCCTGACATATGCTACAAGATGGATAGACCTGAATCACAGTTTGCTAAGTAAAAGAAGTCAGGTACAAAGCACAAACACTGTGATTCACCAGCGGAAAGTACTTTGTGGTACTTTAGTACTAAATTCAAAGACAGTATACAATGATAGTCACAGGGCCAAGGAGAGACAGAAATAGTGAACTGTTGTTTAACAGGCACTGAATTTCGGTCTTACAAAAAAAAAAAAAAAAGCTGGAGTCATGTGGTGATGGTTGCACAGTGTGAAAGTACTTAATGCCAATGAACCTCATAATGGTTAAATTATTTTTAACTGGATTACACAGCATTCTTACAAAAGAAAACAACAATCAATTCTACAGCATAACCATTTATGAGGTTCACCTCTTAACCACTTCATTTCTTCACCTGTAAAATGAAAGTGTACCCATCAACCAGAGGAGATGGAGCACCAGGAATATGGTTTCACCCCCTTACGCTTGTGAGATACTGTATACATCTTAGTTTCCTACTCCGTTCCCAGAGCAAATACTTTCTCTTTTCAAGTTAAAAAAGTGAAACTTCTTTCTTTCTTAATTGTCAGGTTTGCTGGGAAGTAATTGGCAGCTTCTTTGATTTTAGGATTGCACTAGATGTTTTTTCACAGGAAAGCTCCAGAGCCTTTGTAGGGCTTGATGGCCAGATAATGAGACTGTATTTCTGCTCACATCTCCACACAGATGTGGACCAAAGCCCACGTGGGCACAATATTTGCATATGTGGAGCAGTAGAAAATCTGAATGTGAATAATAAATTTCTAATAAGAACCCCCCTGCACAGTTCTTTACTTAAAAAGACCAAATAGGGCATAGGCAGGAATATTTTTCCTGTGTTTTCTTTATTTTCGATTCTCAAGCAGCTCACTCTACTCATAGACTATCCTGAGCTATGGGCAGTTACAGAGCATCCTAGTGAGAAGCAATTTGGTCATGTGGGAAGCATCCATCCTGGAGACAGTTAGCTTTGTCTCAGCTCTGTCACTTATTAGGATTCAGGCCAAGTTCTCAAAGTCCTCACTCATTTTCCTTATTTGTAAGAAGAGAACAGGCCCTATCCAACAGCATAATGGTGGAGCTTGAGTTAATCTACATCCTGTTATGATTGTTAGAACAACAAATTCACACAGTCTAAACACCAGCAAGTTCCCCAAGCCACAGAGGTTGAAGCATCCAAAGGGAAGCTCCCTTTCTAGGCAGTCTAATATTCCTTTCAGTGAAGCCCCATCTTCAGACAAACACCACCTGTGAGCCTCAGGACTTACCTTTACTTTCCTGGTTCTTTACTTTCCTGGTTCATTGTAGCCACAATGGTCCTTCTCTAAATCTAACCCCCCACTTACCAGAAGGCCCACCACCCACCATATCTGTGATGATGTTCCACACAACAGATAGTTAAATATCTTTATAAGTTCTTGTGTTCAAGCTAACTCAGATTGGTTGCTGCTTTAATTAAATCAAGAGTCTTATAAAGGGCCAGGCATTGTGGTTTATGTGTATAATCCCAACTGCTTGGGAGGCATAGGTAGGAAGATCACAGTCCAAAGTTGGCCCATTCAAAAGGTGTGCAACCCTATCTGAAAAACAACAAAAAGTTAAATGGGACTGAGGGTGTGGCTCAAGTGCTAGAGAGTACTAGCCTATCAACCATGAGGCCCTGAGTTTCAAATCTCATTATCATCAAATGTACAGATAGATGGTCTTACCAAGACAGCAGTCCAGAACCTGTCTTTTTTTGTCAAGCAAAGCACAGTGGAATGGCCACAAACCACATTGCTCTGTCTATTCTTCTTCCAACAGCACACGTCCCATAGTCCTCCCAGAGTGTTCTTTAGATAAGCCTTCACCTCCTATGCCAAGTCAAATATACATACACATACATATGTACACATACACACACAACACACACAAAACTTTTTGCCTTGGCTCATTATGTAAACAGCCAACAGCAAAATGCTGGCATTAGAAACTAACTTGGCACTACCCTCCTAAAGGGTCTCTAGCCTCTTGGTCTCATTCATAGAGTTGGAAACCACCCCTAATTACTTCCATTACAGCCAAAGACTTTAGTAACAATACAGTATTTAAGCCTTTAGGGTCTTCAAAACAAAATACAGCATGGCTACAAGGGTTCTGGCTGAATGTACAGACTGCCTCAGGATACATTTCCTATGGACTTGTTGCAGCTGGTGAAGAAGAGTAAAGACAGGAGATGAGCAAGGCCTCAATTTAAAAAAAAAAAAAAAAAGTCTGGGAGCCAGGACTGGGGAGGTCCTAGGGAAAAGAGGCATTGGGCAAATTCCATCTCCCTAATCGGCATAGTGAGTGGCGGCCAAGTTTGCTCTCGAAGCTGTGAGAAGGACCAATTAATTTATCAATCTGCACCTCTTTCTGCCATAACATATTTCCCTCTTGCCAACAAAAAAATGTGTCCATTATCAGGCAGGTCCCTGTCCTCCTAAGAGCCCATGCGGCTGTATAATTACACTTCTTCCCTTGACAACTTGCATGATTGTTTGCCTAACAGTATATTACTTCGTTAGTACTTTCCAATATACGTTATTTTTAAACTGTCACTTTTGCCCAACTCATCCCAATTCACACTCGTCTGTTTATCATAACAATCATTAATAACTGTCAGTCCACGCCATCAATGTAACGAACTCACTCCCTCATTAGCATGTTCTAGCATTTGTTCCGTAGAGGGGGCTGATTATTTTTTACAACAGGCCAAGCCAATTACTTTAGTGAAATGGAATCACATTAATCAAAACTTAACAAGGTGGCAAATTTAAAGATATCAGATTGCAAAAGACAGCATAACTAATATGTCAGTGTCAGGGGTAGAGTGTAGGTATACAGCAGCTGTACTAAATATATCTCTTCATGGAGGCCACATGAATTTTGACGTTTCATATGATCTGACAACTACCAAAGTGATATTATAAGAAGGCAAGAGCCCAGTGCTGTACAGCTCATGATGACTTTTGTAGATTCTGGCAAGGGCAGTGTGAGTCAAGGGGGAGGAGGGAGGGGAAGAGGGGAGAAGAAAACGGTGGCCGCGCCTATCCAGGCTGGCAGACGGCGGCTGATCGTGTCTCTCTGTGCCAAGGCATTTTCTTTTACACTTTAAATGATGATAGTCATCCATCACCATCTGACAACTGCATCAAAACCAGCTGCAAAACATGCAAAGCCCAGCAGTCTAAAATATGCTGACACACCAACAGAAAAACAGATTTAAAATATATCTATGTTTATAGATTCCATAGGAAAAGGATGCAGAGAAGGTGACTTGGCTTCATGGTGGAGAATAGGGGTGGATGACAAAATATTTAGGAGTTTGTGTGGGGGAGAGAGAGAGAGAGAGAAGGGAGAAATTTCCAGAGCAGCAATGAAAAAGAGGCAAACTGAGGAGAACAAAGGAAAAAAAGAAAAGGGAAGAGAGAGGAAAGGAAATAAGAGAGAACAAAAATAGAAAAGAGAAAGGGGAAGAGAGAAGGAGAAAGTGGCAAATGGAAGAAGGAACAGGGAGGAGGCACGGCAGAGTGGAAAGAAAGTTGGGAAGGAATGACTACAAGTCATTGGCAATCTCAAGAAGAAAAGTAAAGGCTCTTACAAAAGGTTCATTCTACCACAAGCAAGAGCTCACTAATTTGGCTTCAACTCTATAATCATTAGCTGATGCTCTGGCCCCAGGTTTTCTCATAGCTTGCCAAAAAATACTGGGTCCCATACAGGTCTCTCCTAACTTCCGTTCCATGAGTCCTTTGTACCCTACAACTTTATTTGTAACTGATTGTTCTACCACCATCATTCTCCCTACCCCCAACCCATGGCTCTTATGACCCACGCCATCAATTGAACTAAGACAACACTTGGGCACCTCCAAAGGCAGATAACACATATAGCGTATCACCATTCTCCATCCCCAACACTCTCTTTTCTGGTCTCTTCACTCACAAGGAAGGTCAAATCTTTGCCCTAGATGACCTAGGGTAAGTTATTGGACCTCTCAGAACTTCTAATGCCTCACTTTTATCAATAATGAGATTATGTAGAGAATGAAAGTTATCATTAAGAGTAAAAAACATGCCCCACCACAGATGAATGGATCCAAAAATTGTGGTATCTATACACAATGGAATATTATGCAGCTATTAGAAATGACAAAATAATGGCATTTGCAGGGAAATGGATGGAGCTAGAAGGAATCATGTTGAGCGAGGTAAGCCAAGAGCGAAGAGACAAACGGTACATGGTCTCCCTGATAAGTGGATGCTAAATCCAAAATGTTAGGTGATACGACAAAACTAACAGGACTTAAGAAACAAAGAACTCCCACTCATTTGGTCGAACCGCTACTAAATATCACCATGCTGCTGATCACATGTATGGTGTATAACATGTGAACACCGTTATATGTTACAGACTATGATAGACAATTTGCTCCAGGAAAGTTAGAATGAACTTGTGACTTTAAATGAGCATCATTATTCCACAATACTGTAAAATTCCAGAAATTATATAATCACTTAATCACAATAAAAAAAAGAACCTCGGGGAAGGTAGGGAGGGAAGGGATGGTAGGGGGAAAACAATGGAGGGGGGTAACAATGTTCAAGAGGAAGTGTACTCATTACCTCACTCATGTAACTGTAACCCTCTGTATAGTATCTTTACAATAAAAAAAAAGAGTAAAAAACAACATACAAGAAACACCTGTAAAGATGTTTGACCTATGAGTAGGCCCAACTCCAAGAGTAGAGACTTTGTGTTTATTAATCATTGAGCTGGGATAGAGGCTTTCTTTGCAGATCTCATTTATGAGCTTTGTATCCTTCCCAAGACCTCTTCCGTCCTATATTTAGTAAGTTAAAGAATTGGTCAGCTGCATGCACAGGACAGGAGATTGCCATTAGGATCTGTAGGCCTCTCTAGGATGAACAAGCTTACAAAGGTACTATGCAAGGTCTAGTGTGCTGTATCTTAATAAATTCTTCCTGGACCCACAGCCCAACTACTTAGCCATCCTACTGTGATTGTATTTAATGAAGCTTGTTTATTGATTTACTTATTCCAAGGAATTCTGAGAACTTGGTACACCAGGCTGGCAAAGGCCCCATTGTATAATGTGATTAGATTCAGTTATATCTCACAGTTCATGAAATTGTGCTATGATTCATTTTTACAACTTAAATAGCTATTTGGTTGGGTTGCCAGGTTGAACATGATGAATGTGTGTGATAAAACAGAACAAAAAGAAGGTCCAGTGCCAGTAAACTCAAACATGAGTCAATGGATTAACCCCTTCACTCCATAATGGCAATGCCCCTAGGGGACCACTTGCCCCCTGGCCATCCTCCTTCAAGCCTTATTATTTGGTATCTCTGCTATGCCATTGCCAAAGTACTTGCTCCCCAGCAAGACAGAAGCTTTCTCCAGAATGGACATCATTCCTTCTGTCCTAATCTCTGTATCAGCACAAGAAAACAAATCACATATGCTTACCAGTCATAATTCAAACTTGATCACTTCCCAGATCTCCAGCTTAGATTCCAGTCCTCATCCCTACATATCCAGTGTTTAACTTATGTCCACATTAATATCCTCAGCAATCATGGTAAGAAACTGGCATTCTATCTAATTACTAATAAGCCACAAGAAATAAAGCTAGAATTACTTCAGCATAAAATTTTGTTGAAATAACTTCAAGGGGAGCAACAGGACTTGCATGGCTCATATCATTATCTTTCATTTTGCATAACATTCATTGTTCCAGGACACTTTAATAATAAATACATCCTGAAGTAGATTTTCTAATAAAGTACATCATCATTTTAAGTTATCATTTTTAAAGAAAATTAAATTTTAATTTTAAAGAATCATATAAGGATTACGTTAGAAGAAGTTTTATCAAGTAACTTCAGCCCTAACTCATTTTTCTTCATTTTTTGCAGCAAAGCAGTCTGGGCAATATGTTCCAAACGTCACAATATATAATCTTCCACTAATAAACCTTTGTGTTTTAACTTTGATGCTTTCTCATCCAGAAGTAGGATAGTTCTTCTCCCCTGAACCTGGGGAGTGTATGTTACTGTCACTGATAGAGTGCTCAGAAGTTGCACTGTGTGATTTTGGAGGCTCAGTCACAAGTAGGATACAGCTTCTATCTTGATCTGTTGGAATTCTTGCACTTAAGAGCCATGAGTCACCTGGAAAAGCCCTAGTACCCTGAGGTGGCTATACTGTGAAAAGGCCAAGCCATATAAACAGACCATGCACCAGGGCTCCAACTGGCAATAAAATCTTAAAGTCATCTAGCCTAGGTGCCAGACATGTACAGACCAGCTTTCGGATGACTCCAACCCCAATCAAGGAGTCACTCCGTCCTCTGAATCTCTGAAGCCCAAGTTCTAGGCTTGTGGACTTAACAATCAGGAGTAGTATGAACTTGGGACCCACAGAATTCTTTAGCATACAAATGGCTATTCCATTTCCTAGGTCCTGAGGTAATACAGATTAATACCAGGGTCCCTGCAGGATAAAGGCCACACAAGTGTCAGAGTTCAGTTCTGCTTGACCTAGAATATATATCTGGGACAGTGACTGAGGTCTGTATACTTAGTGTGGAACCAGAAAAATGTCTACTCCTGGGAGATGTAGCATTTGAAAATGAGGTTCAATCAAAGGAAGATATTTAACATTATTTATTCTTCTTTCTCTACTTCCTTCCATATAATCCCTGCACTGTAATACACCTTCAGATCTACCCCTTCATGTATCTACTAAGAATCTCAGTGTCTTCATCACCTTCTCAGCCAAGTTAGCCCAATTTAGTGGCCACTCAATCAGAGACACCATTGGACAAAATGGTCCTTCAGTGATTGATTATACTTTACTAGTACCCTCCCCATGCTGGGAGGGTACAATATACTTTCTCCTGTAATTTATCATAACTTTTTTTCAGATCCAAAATTAAATCTTACATCCTGACCAATAATACTTGTATTTGTAGATTTAAATGCAGTCTTAAAAGGGCATAAAAATTAAAGTATATCTAACCATTCATTTCACGAACTTCTTTATTGAAAATAAGAACCAAAATTATAAACTTTAATAATAAATGTACATATATTCACATATTCATATTACCTACATTTTCATATTCAACATCATTTTGGACAATGTTAGGAATTAGACAATGTTAGGAGTCTATTTCACGGCAGATCAGAGGAAGATAGATAGATGGCTTTCTCTTCCAATCATCCAAACAAAAATACAGAACTTCATTCCCCATAGTCTTTTAACATCTCAAGGAGGCACTGGCCTTTACTCTTCCCTGAGGCAAGTTGTTTCATCTCTTTCAACATTAGCTTTTCATTTGTAACACACTCAGAGAGATAAAAGTGACACAGAGCTCAAGTTCACAGCATTTGGGTGGGAACATAAACCAGGTCTCTGACTCCATGGATGGTTCAGTGGCATTCTGTGGCTGTAGCCATCAGCATTGTGACAACAGCATTTCAAAACAGCCCACAAGATACATAGAGCCTGACAGAGGCAGCAACCACCTCCACACACCTATGCAAATGGCCCAGGACCTAAACTGAGAATCCTCCATTCAGAGGCCCACATGCAAACTAGAAAGGGGGAAAAGGCCTAAAATACTAAAATATCCCTTATAGATTTAATCTAAAAGAAAATAGAACACTGGGCTCTGCAGTTCCCAATATTCACACCTTGCCCCAGACTTTCCTCAGCCTGACCACTGTGGAAATAGAGAGGCCACAGATGTGAGAGGGGCCTCAGATTTATTTTCCACCCTGATTTATCCCCTTGCCCTCCCTTGCACATTAGTTTGGTATGACAACAACACATAATTCGATTACATGTGAGATATAATAAAATCATTGCAGCTGTTCAGAAATATTCACAGACAGAGAATTTCAGAACCACAGTCAAACACAGACACAAGGTTGGATGTAGGGGAATATCCTGTGAAAAGCACAAAATGAGAAGAGAAAACAAAAAGCTGTTCTTTCTACCACTCAGCTTTTCCAGCATTCCTGTCTGCATGCTTTGGCCTCAAGTAAGAGTACTGTCTTAAAAAGGAATATGTCTACAGATCTCATGAGGAGGAAGAGGATGACATCTGAGGGTGCAACAATGCAAGAGAAAAGCCATAGTGTATGTACCATTTAATTCTACTTTAAGATGCTGCTATGAACTCGAGTGCATTTAATACCCCTTTTAAACACCATGTACGTTTCTCTCCTGCCCCCCTCACTCTGTGGGCTCCATACTGAGTCTAAGATTAATCCCTTGGGAGTTTTTATTTCCTTTTCTGCCTATCTTTCATCTTCACCCCAGGCTAAGCAGATGGATGTGAATTCAAAGTTTTCTGATCTTTAGCACAAGTTATGGAGGGTTATCTTTGGCTGTATATCTTTCTGCTGGCAGAGCTCCCTTGGTGATGAAGGATTAACCACCCCAGCTGTCTCTTCCCAGAATGATGCAGTGCCATGCTCCTCAACACGACAGCATCACTTAATCTTAATGTCCGCTCTCCGAGCGCAGCCGCGCAGGACAAAGCCAATCAACATCAGATGCCACCAAGATGGACCTACTGCTTGGCCCTGGAGTCTCTCACCCACTCACTCCTATTAATCAACATCATCCAACCCAATCTCAGAGTTCAGTTCTCTCCAACCACAGTTAAGCCAAGCTGGGGTCCATGTTCACCATCTGAAGCAGAAGACAGAGGGAGGGGTGGTAGGCAACAATCAGCTGTGACAGCATACCAAGGCATGTCACTCAGTGACACAGTCTTTCTTCTGCTCAGCTCCTCTAACTTTGGTTCTGGAGCATTTGACATCTCATCATGTAATGAATTCAGCCATGGAGATGAATGTGTTTGATCTCAAATAGAACCTAACCATCTTTCAGAGACCCTAGATATATCCCAAGGAAGCTATTTGCAGACAAACGGAGTAAGCCTTTTCCCATCTTCACCCCAACCAAGTCACATGCCTCTTGCAAAGCTAGGCCAAAAGACTGTTGTTCTTTTCTTTTTTCAGCCAGTTCTGGGGCTTGCATTTGGGGCCTAGGTGCTCTCCCTGAGCTTTTTTGCTCATAGCTGTCTTTCTACCATTTGAGCCACAGCTCCACTCTGGCTTTTTTGGTGCTCAATTGGAAATAAGGAGTCTCAAGGACTTCCCTGCCAAGGCTGGCTTTGAACCTATATCCTTAGCTTCCTGAGAAGCAAGGAGATTCTATTTATTCGTGTATAAAAACACCAGTAAAGCACAGATGGCAACCCCAACCTGACCCTAATACCTTGTTTGACCAACACATATCACAAACATATACAATCCTAATGAGCTTCCTTGTTTCCCATTCTCCTGCTTGAACATTAGATATCACAAATGGGAAGACAAAAGAGTACTCTCCAGTTTCTCTCTAGCTCTAAGCAATTAAATGAAAGCACTTCCTTATTCCTTCTTAAGAAAAGAAATGAAAAAGTCGGCCCAGATCTCAAAGGCAAACGTAATAAAACAGTAAATTATTGCTGGAGTTTACTAAACAAATGCAACCTAGTTAAATTTGGAAAAAAATCTTCATTTTTGCTTACATTTGCAATTTTACTGCTGAACTACTGGTATTTCTTACTTATGCAACATTAAAATGTATAAGAAATCCTCTGTGTGCTATATCCAGCATCTACTCTTGATTTATAATACCCAATTTAGGGGGGAAAACACAACGAAACCTGATTTAAATCACAGATTACTCTGTAAAACACAAGCAAGGAACTATTCCAAATCCTAAATGTAATTTAAACATATTTATATTTTACAGTGATATATTTTCCCCATTCCTTGTCTTACAACTGTAAACTTTCTATAATTATATAAGCAATTTCCCTAAGGTCACAACATTGATCATAGTTATAAATTGCTAAAGTACAACAACACACAGTGAGCGGGAAAATATATGCTGGACATCACAAACAGTTTCATCAAATCCAGGATGGCATGGAACGGGGGAAAGGAGAGATGAGGAGTGAAGATAGGAAAAGGGAAAAAAGTAACAAATTTTCTAAGAAGTCATTAGACAATGTCACATTCCCCTCCCCAAAGCCATTTGAAACACAGTTTTTGACAAATTGTCCTGCAATAGGGCTTGGTGTAAATTTTGATGATATTCTTAATCTTTTGCCTATTACTCTGGAAGCCATTTGAAGAAGCAATCCAGAAGTCACTCAGTTACAGTACAAGTGAAAAGTAAGGAAACAAACCTTACCCAATCAAATCTGCCTTCTGCCCTCAATAGCAGTTCTCAAACTAAGTGCCTAGGAAGCTGACCATTGACAGAGATACCCGCCCCCAGAATGAGGGAGATGGCATAACAGGAGGCATTTGAACTTTAACCCATTCTTTAAGCTGACCCACTTCTCTTTAATCTGTGTCTTCTATTGGGGAAAAAAAATCTGACTTGGAGAAACACTTCCAAAGGTTGAAAAAAGAAAAAGATTTGGAAACCACCACTTCCTGATGTTGTCAGCATGAAGCAGGAGATCTAAAGTCACCAGAGAGACACCGACTGGTTGTCAGTGTTAGTGGTGTTTGGAGGTAACTCTCCTCTTAATGAGAGGAGATCCAGGTGCCCTCCACACACAGTGCAAATGAAGTTGCTGTCAGGCACCTCTAGCATCCAGGCTGCAGCCAGACGGGTTGACAGGCTGGTCACTCCTTATGGATAACAATGCCACACTCCACTCTGGGCAGCTGCCTATTAGGAAGACAGCTGAGACCCAGAGGGGAGGGAGAAATGAGCCTGTGACAGACACTGCTTTGCTCAATGGAAAAACAGACTAAAAGGACACATGTTTTTCTGAAAGCTTAAGAAGAACAGTTCAATTTTTTTTTTCATTCTCAATGTTATCCAAAGAAAGCTCAGCATCTCTGCAAGCTTAGGGTCCTGGTGCAGCTTTCCAAGAAAATTTCAGAGCTATTTGTGCATGTAGTACCTGGTTTCCAGAAGGAAAACCATTAAGAAATTGGTCTCTGGAAGAAAGTCAGCTCCTAGGCCTACCTGCATTTTGTACCCCTGTCTCTCTTCTCATTTATGCTGCTACTGTTTCTCCATGCTCCTGACTTCATCTTGGCCTCCATTTTCCTTATGGACTGTTACTGGTGCCAAAATAAAGCACACTTGCCTTCCCCAACATGAAAACCTCCTCTGACCAGCTATTATATTCATAGTACAGATGGTTCTCTATAACCAGATTCCACAACCTTCAATTTAACCAACCATGGACTAATTAATTTTAGACAGGTTCCAGTGGCTCATGGCTAAATCCTAGCTACTCAAGAAGCTGAGATATGAGGATTACAGTTTGAAGAGAGCCAAGGTAGGAAAGTCCATGAGACTTTTACCTCCAATTAACCAGCAAAAAGCCAGAAGTGGAACTGTGGCTCAAGTGGTACAGTGCCAGCTTTGAGCAAAAATGCTCAGGGACAGCACTCAGGCCCTGAGTTCAAGCTCCAATATCATCCACCCTCAACACAAACACAAACACACACACAATTGTTTCCATACTAACCATGTATATTTTTCTTCTTGTTATGATTCCCTAAACTATGTAGTGTAACTATTTACTTATTTTATCAAGTATTATAACTAATCAGAGATCATTTAAAGTATTCAGAAGGGATGTCCATGTTATATGCCAGTACACCACCACTTTGTGTAAGAGACTTGAGCATCACAAACTGGGGAATTTAGGAACCAATCCCCCATGAAAACAAAGGGACAAGGAGCATTGACTAATCAGAAGTAAAGTTGGGTTCAAACAACTGATTAGTCATACACAAAGGTAGACCGAATCAATGTGGGTACAGTCTTTGACATCAAAGAAAAGTAGAATTAAAAAGTGCATTGTGAGCTTTGAAGTCTGGGAGAAACCAGCTCAAATCCCCCTTCCACCACTCTCTTTTTTTTTTTTTGGAAAGATCAAACTGGGTTTTATTAAAATATACATAAACAACCCTCATGTACTTTTACTTCATCAGTATTAGGAAATAAAAGTGAAAAGTGATTATCCTGGTATAAAGAAATGAAGGCCAAAAGGGAGTCAAGAAAACTATGCTTCAGCCCAGATCTGCCACCTCCCAGTCCACCACTCTCTTTCTGTAGAAACTCAAATTGCTAAATTCAGAACTGTCTCCTTGAAAACAGTAAGCAAAATATTAGTACCTCAGAAAAACAAATGAGTTGAGATACAAGTAAACTAAAATAGAGCATACAGGATATACTCATTATGTAAATGGAATATATGTTTCATTCATTCATGGTTTTGTTTGGTTAGCTGGTTCTGGTTTTTTGTTGTTTGTTGTTTGTTTAGATTCTTTAGGTGTGTTATAGGTTCCAAACAAGTGAGAAAACAGGAAATCCTTGACAGTTCTGGTCCTAAAAAAGGAGATATAGTTAATATATGGAACCAACCTAGACGCCCCTCAGTAGATGAATGGATCAAGCAAAAAAAAAAAAGAAAAGATATATATATATATATATATATATATATATATATATACAGAATGTAATTCTATGCCTCCATCAAAAAGAATGGCACCATCCCATTTGTTAGAAAATGGAAAGACTTGGAAAATATTAAATTAAGTGAAGTAAGCCAGACCCAAAGAAACATAGATCCAAGTTCCCCTTATTTGCAATAACTAGTATACATCTATGATAATCTTACCAGACAAGCAGAAAAGGTCAAAAGCCATGTGCATATGACCATATAAGATGATGCTAAGTGAAATGAACCCCAAGATAGGGACACAAGAGGTTAATGTACTATGTGATTTTTTTTTTTTGTGGTCGGTCATGGGGCTTCAACTCTGGGCCTGGGCACTGTCCTTGGGCTCTTCAGCTCAAGATGAGCACTCTACCACTTGAACCACAGCATTACTTCTGGTTTTCTGGTGGTTTATTGGAGATAGGAATTTCATGCATTTTCCTGCCCAGGTTGGCTTTGAACAGTGATCCTCAGATCTCAGCCTCCTGAGTAGTTAGGATTACAGACATGAGCCACCCGTGCCTGGCTTACTGTGTCATTTTTTTTTTCTTTTGTATGTTCCTCCCCCATGGGGGGAGGGAGGAATTGGGGAGGTGGGGAAGGAAGGGCACAGTAGGGAGAAAACAAAGGAGGGGGGTAACAATGTTCGATAGGAAATATACTCATTACCTTACTCATGTAACTGTAACCCCTCTGTATAGTATCTTTACAATTAAAGTATATTTTTAAAAAAAGAGATTCTAGTTCCTTAGTGGAGACTTCAGGAGGTAAAATCTTGGTGTTGCTACACTAGAAATGTAAAGAAATTGTTTGCTGGGTTGTTAGTCAGGGATGGAGCAGAGCTGATGTCCCTGACTGGATTTTTAATCAGTTATTCACTTAAAAATTTTACTATCATCGCCGGGCGCTGGTGGCTCACGCCTGTAATCCTAGCTACTCAGGAGACTGAGATCTGAGGATCGAGGTTCAAAGCCAGCCCGGGCAGGAGAGACCGTGGGACTCCTATCTCCAATAAACCACTAGAAAACCGGAAGTGGCGCTGTGGCTCAAGTGGTAGAGCGCTCGCCTTGACCTGAAGAGCTGAGGGACGGCGCCCAGGCCCAGAGCTCAAGCCCACGATCGACAAAAAAAAAAAAAAAAATTACCATCATCAATATAGGAGGTTATATATAATTTTTATAAAAGCCAACTTCACGGAACTTTTATTATTTTCTTATTTCTCTTCTTTCTTTTTTTTTTTGTTGGTGGTGGGGCTTGAACTCAGGGCCTGAGCACTTTCCCTGAGCTCTTTTGCTCAAGGCTAGCACTCTACCACTTTGAACCACAACGCCATTTCTGGATTTCTGGTGGTTAATTGGAGATAATAGTCTCCCAGACTTTCTTGACCAGGCTGGCTTTGAACTATGATCCTCAGATCTCAGCTTCCTGAGTAGCTAGACTTACAGGCATGACCCACCAGCGCCTGGTTCTTATTTCATATATAAATAATACATTTCAGGGTAGAGTCATGGCTCAGTGGTAGCTTTGGTCTACCAAGTACAAAGCTGAGTTCAAATCCCAGTACAAACTAATTAATTAATTAATAATAGTAAAGGCAAGGAAAATCACCTGTAATCCTGCAGCCCACGTACTATAGTCAACATTTTAATATAAGCTCCTTATATCACAACACTGTGCTAAGAGCTTCACTATGCTGTCTAATTGATTTTTTTGGCACTCTATGTGGAAAACAAAGGCTTAAAATGGTTAGGTCATTTGACCAAAATCAAATCATCACACCACTCACTCCTTAATGATATCAAGATTTGAACCTAAGTCTAAATTCAAAATTCACATGTAAGCTACATACAAGACTGTCTTCTTGAAATAACAAAAGTTCACATTCTAACATATTTCCTTCAACTTTTTTTCTAAGCCTATAAATTGGTAGGTGAGTTAGCTGAATAAAAAAAGGCATTGAATTAAACTTTTTCATTGAAATAATCAAAGAAAATACATATCTGAGTGCTGGTGGCTTACCTTTGTAATCCTAGCCACTCAAGAGTCTAAGATCTGGAGGATGCAGTTCAAAATCAGTTCATGATTACAAAAAAAAATAAATAAAAGCCTATGAGATTCCATCCTCTAATTAGCCAGCAAAAAGCCAGGCTGGGGATGTGATAGTGTCTGCTTAACAGGCACAAAGCCCTTAGTTCATACTTCAATACCAGAAAAAAATATATATATATATTAAAATAGTATTTCTCTCTGAGACAATAAGTCCTACAAATCCTGAATTTCTTAAATAAGATAGTTTCTGCATGGGCAATTTGAAAGATCTCAAGCACAAACACCTGCCACACTAGCTTTTATCATTGACTCTAGAATGACTTTTTCAAAGGAAGGCAACAGCACAATATAAACCTACAACCACAATGCATGAGCATCTCACAAATTCCAGAGCATTGCAGACCAAACGTTAGAGAAAAAGAGTAAGGGGAAAAATGAGAATTTGAAACATTCAGGGATGAGTTTCTGCCTAAGTATCTTAATCAGGAAAAGCAGCTTTTAAATGTCAAGAATGGCCAATTCTTTTCATCTGCCAAGTCAAATGCATCTTTTTTCAATTCTACAATCACTGTATATAATAGAACCAGAAACATTCCATTTTGGACTCATGCCCCATAATTCCCTTCTAGGTGCTGGTGGTGGCCTTAATCATGGATAGAAATTAAGTGCACCTGACACTCATTTTTAAGGACAAAACCTAGAATTTTCTCTCAGGGAGATCAGGCAGAATCCAATCCTTCAGAAAATGAAATCCTTGGTAAACAGAAACTACTCAGACATTGTCTCAACTCCCCCTCATTAGGTTATGGGGGGAGGGGGAAATGCAGTGATAATATTCATGTTCTACAAAATTAAGAAAACCGGGCCAAGCGCCGGTGGTTCATGCGTGTAATCCTAGCTACTCAGGAGGCTGAAATTTGAGGATCATGGTTCAAAGCCAGCCCAGGCAGGAAAGTCCATGAAACTCTTATCTCCAATAAACCACCAGAAAACCGTAAGTGGTGCTATGGCTCAAGTGGTAGAGCACTAGCCTTGAGCTGAAGAGCTGAGGGACAGTGCCCAGGCCCAGTGTTCACCCATGACAAAAAAAAAGAAAAAAATGTAAAGGAAGAGTTGGGTCAGGAAAGAAGAAGGAGAATGATGAAAGGGGTAATACTGATCAAGACGCATTGTATTCATAACATGATTTGCTGAATACTAACTCCTTTGTACAACTACTGGAAGATTGTGTGTGTGTGCAGAGAGAGAGAGAGATACTTGTATGCATGTATCCATAATGCACACACACACTAACCAGTAAGACTTGGTAGTACACTATAATTCCAGCACTTAGGAGGCTGGAGCAGAAGGATCATGAGCTTCAGCCCAATCTAAGCTATGTTACAATTTGACTCAAAAAGAAAAGGAAAGAAACTTACTAAATAGAGGGAAATATAGGCTTGGTAGAGACAGTATGAAAGGCCAATTCTGCTCTCAGACCGCTAGGCACAATTTCCTGAAGCTGGTTCCTGAGAAAAGTAAATAACAGTAATTCCTGGTAAAGAGCTCCTTAAACACAACAGGGATCCAACCATTTATTTATCAATAGCTCCGTTTGCTAACTCAATACACAAATGTTGTGCAAATGTCATCATTCTGTCTCTTTCTCCCTTTTCCCAGTAACTGTTCAAACTGATCTCAATTGCTTAAGTATCCAGAACAAAACAAACCAGCAACTAGAGTGCAATAAGGAGTCTCTGAACTCTTAACACAAGTTTCACCTGGTTTCCAACCTTATCAATATAAACTATTTGGGAAATGGAGTTTTTCCATCATTTATTCATGTGCAGACATGCCTGGTCAGTCTATTATTTTTCCTAAATTAATCTATACCTATTTGTTATCATTGATAGGAAATGAAGCTCTTCCCTCCTATCTCCATTTCCCTATATGGATTTTAGTTCTTTGTTTTTTATATTTTTTATTGTAAAGATACTGTACAGAGGGGTTACAGTTACATGAGTAAGGTAATGAGTACATTTCCTATTGAGCATTGTTACCCCCTCCTTTGTTTTTCGCCTACTATCCCTTTCCTTCCAACCTCCCCAACTTCTCCCTCGGGCACCCCCGGGGGGCAGGAGGAGAGGAACATACAAAAGAAAAAAAAAAAATCACATAGTACATTAAAAACAATACCAGCAAAGAAAAAACCTCTTGTTGTCCCTATCTTGGGGTTCATTTCATTTAGATCATCTTATATGGTCATATGTACATAGCTTTTGACCTTTTCTGCTTGTCTGGTAAGATTATCCTAGATGTATACTAGTTATTGCAAATAAGGGAAACCATAGGCCCTATATATATTTGGGCCTGGCTTACTTCATTTAATATATTTTCAAGTCTTTCCATTTCCTAACAAATGGGGTGCTGCCATTCTTTCTGATGGAGGAATAGAATCCCATTGTGTGTGTGTATATATATATGTATGTATGTATATACGTATATATGTTTATATATACACAAACCACATTTTCTTAATCCATTCATCTACTGAGGGGCATC